ACAGTTAAGTTGGCCATTTTCTTAGTTTTTGAACTCTTTTTTCTGTGTGTCTGTATTTAATTTTCCTGGTATAGCATTCCCCTGAGAACTTTTTGTTTTTTGGAGAGGTTTTTGCTATAGGGCGTGTGCGCTTGCCTGAAAGACAGAGACAGAGACAGAAAGCAAGAAATTACCCCCTAGGGGGGATGGCCACACCTCAATCCCTTCTCTTCCATTCTCCTCTTGGGATCTTGGGCATGCACACACGTCCGCCTGGCATGAGTTTTAAGCCACTGGGTCTGGAACTTGAACCGCAGTCGACTACATGGGAGTCCAGTGACATAGCCATTACGGTAACTGCTGGTCCCACTTGAGAACTTCTTGAAGATCTGGTCTGGTGTTGGTAAATTCTTTTAGGTTTTGTTTATCTGAGAATGCCTTTGTCTTCTCTTCCCATATGAAGGATAATCTTGCTGGGTATAGTATTCTTGGTTGAAATTGTTTTTCCCTTAACACTTTGAATATATTTTCCCATTCTTTGCTTGCATTGTTTCTGAGGAGAGGTCTGCTATCAGCCTGATGGGATATCCTTTGTAGGTAACTTGATGTTTCTCTCTTGGCAATCTTAGTATCTCGTCTTTGTCTGTGGTTGTGGTCAATCTGGCTATAATGTGTCTTGGAGAAGATCTTCTTGGGTTGATTCTATTTGGGGTCCTTTGTATTTCTTGGGACTGGACCTTTGAGTGCCTCTCTAGGTTTGGAAAGTTTTCTTGCAGGATTTCATGGAATAGATTAACAATGCCTTTATGAGTCTCTTTGCCTTCTGGGATACCAATTATCCAGATGTTTGGACATTTGATGGTATCTAATATTTCTTATATTATTCTCTTTTTTTCTGGGCAGTTTTCTCAGTCTTCATGGTAGATTTTTCTAGGCTAGCGACTTTATCATCTACATCTGAGATTCAAATTTTTTTGTATGATCTAGTCTGCTTTTAATACTTTCAAGGGAGATTTTGACTTCCTCTATTATAGCCTTCATCTCTAACAGGTCCATTTGATTTTTTTTTAGAGTGTGTATTTCCTCTTTTAGATCTTGCAAGTTTCCTCACCTCCTGGAACTCATCAGCTCCTTTCTCCTGCCTCTTCTGCAGTTCATTGTCTCTCTTCTCATTTATCTCTGTTAGCTTTGTTATTATGAATATTCTCACTTCCGTGAGTTTCATTGTACTGTCTGAGGATGAAGAGGAGTTATTCTTTTCCCTTGGAGGAGAGATATTTTCTTGCTTTCTCATATCTCTTGTGACTCTACAGTGATTTCTAGTCATCTGATGGATAGTATGTTTCTTCCTAATTCTTGAAGTTCAATCTGAGCATTCAGAGGCGTGCAGGAGGAGGTGATCTGCAATATCTCTTCCATTCTGTTTTCACTCTTTGTGTGTCATACTCAGCGGGAATTTAGGAATATTCTCACTCTAATCAATCGTACTCAGATGTTCGGATTCTGTTCACTTGGCTCTGCCTAGATACTTAGTGCATAAAGGTTGAGCAACCAATGAATAAAAATAAAAAGGGAAAAGCATTAGAGAAGGGGAAAGAAGAAAAAATAAAAAAGAAGAAAGAAATGATAATAAAAAACTTTAGATTTTAATTTTAAAAAGCAAGAAATGAAAACCGAGTGGCGCACATGCACGCTGCACAAAAGCAGTATTTCACAGCTCAAGTTCAGTATCCATCTCAAAGTGGGCCTGGGTTTTTGCCTTTCCCACTAGAAATGAATCTGGAAGGAGAAGACTCAGCAGAAAATCTTCATTTTTTTAGTCAAGGAAAGCAATATTTCACAGCTCAAGTTTGGTATTCATCTCCATGCACAGTGTCATTCTAATCCTGGATGATATAGTGGGTGTTGTTTTGTCTCTACTTCTTAGTCTTTTTTCTTTTTTCTTTTTTGTAGTTTCCAGTGTATGTATGTAAGTGTTTATTGAATTGATTGAATTGTTTTTGTAATCAGAAAATAGTCATAGCTTTCTCTGGCTGAGTGTTTCAGAGACTGGTTGCTCTACTGCTATTTCAGTGATTTTGAAATAGAAGGTGTCTTGGTCAAGAATTAATGTGTTCTTTTTTTTTTCTTTTTCTTAACCAACTGAATTTTATTTGTTGTATAAACCAAACTACTTAACATCTTTCAGGTGAAAAAATACTAAATTTGAATAAAGATACTACAGAATGAATTAGAGCCCAATAAAAATTAGCTTTGGGGAGGGAACATAATTCTACTCAATTAAGGCAAACATGTTTATAGACCACAGATGAGTTCATTTTTAACACCCATCATGCCATGGATTCATAGGGAACAGGTTCCAGTAGCTCAGGCTCCTTTCCATTGGTTCTCACAGAGTGTGCGTCTCTGGGTGGAGCAGGCTGGCGCTTTAGTTGAACCCAGGTCCCTTTCTCTTTGGCTTCCTTCTTTTTCTGGTCATTTTCCTTCACACATTTTAGGAAGCTATCTCTGCTCTTAGAATGTTTAATATTCACAATATGCACATTGATTCTCTTGGCAAGAATCTTGCCCTTAACTTGTTTGTTCACAACAATGCCAACAGCATGCTGGGTAACATTGTAGACTCTTCCAGTTTTGCCATGGTAACATTTGTGGGGCATTCCTTTTTGA